CCGGTGGCATCAGAAAGCCTCTCTCGTGTTGCACGTGACCCAGCCAAAGGCACTCGAGCACCGGCTCCCAGCATTGTCTCCTGCACAGCCGGCACGGGAAAGCCACCCTCTGCTCCTCCTCACCCTCCCAAGCTATTCTTTGACCCCCACAAAGATGCCGTTAACCATGGCGGGAGTCCTTCCCTGGGGACTCGGCCTTCGTTCCCAGACGCAGTGGGACCACCAGTGCTAGGCCCCCAGGTTACCTCTGATCCCGAAAACCGGAGGAGAAAAGAACCTTACCTTTTGCAGCCGTGTTATCCAGCCAAGGCAAGAAATTAGGAATGTTTGTGTGTCTTCTACTCCGTCTCTTTTGAAACTCACGTGAGAGCTCGTTTGTTTTCCGGGCTGCCCTGCCCTCCCTTTCCTCGGTAACACTGCTGCAGCTTGAATCCCGAATTCTTCTCTCTAAACATCTCTGCACAGTCTTCTCTGTCTCCCTCTCTCTTTCCTGTAAATATGTAAGTATGCCAGAGCGTGGAATACGTAGACTAATACTCCGGTGAGAGATAGAGTGTTTACGTTTTATACAAAGATGCCACAGAAATTGTATTCCCAAGCTTTCAGGCTCCGCAAGAAGCTTTGGGGGTTAAACACAGCCTGCCTGCCTGTTGTCTCTCTTTCTCTCTCATAAAGTGTTAAAAGGATTCAAAAATAGATGGATGGAAAGTAGACTTGGATGGGGTTCCCTCTGTGTCATAGGGTGTCAGGAGGCCAACTGGCTAGCACTGACTGTCTCATGCACTCTGCAGAAAGGGCACCGATTAAATAGTTCTCAGAGTACATCATTGCATGTCCACTCTCAACTGTTTAAATATGGAATTCCTTCTCCCTGCTGCCATACCCCTTTACGTAACGACCCCCTTATTTCCCACAGGATGCCACTTCCTCCAGCCCAGGCCAGCCTGAGGTTATAGTTGTCCCTCTCTACCTGGTTAATACTGACAGAGGGCAAGAAGGCACTGCCAGACCTCCAGCATCTCTGGGGCCACTGGGCCCCCCAGTCCCGGCCACCGCCCCTGCCGGCTCACCTCTGACCTTCCCGACTCTAGATGATTTCATTCCCCCTCATCTGCAGAGGCGGCCCCACCACAGCCCGCCGGCCAGCGCTCCTGGCCCCCACCCCCCCGTTAGCCAGACACCTCCATCCTTCTCACCACCACCTCCGCTGGTCCCCCCGGTTCCGGAGGGCCTGCACCGAGCCTCGGAGCCTGACCTCACGGGAGCTGTTTCAAGTACCGTAAGCTCGCTGGGATCCCTTCCTCACGGCTTTCCTGAATGTCTGCTCCCGGCAGTAAAAACCCCTTTCTCACTGAAGTACTAAGTTCCGAGAGAAGTGCTGGCTGCCGCTCTGCTTGCGGGATGACTGGAACCGTGTTTGCTCTCCCCAGAGTGCATGCCTCCCGTGTGTGTCCCTGGGCTCTCCTCACTGTCCTGTTCGGAATGCTCGTCTTCCTGAGAGACCTTTGTTTTCCCTCAGAGAAAACAACCTTGGTGGCCTTGCCTCGGGCTGGCTCTGCTCGCCACAGGCCAGGCAGATGCAAAGCTGAGAGCTGAGGAAAGCCGAAGAAGTGCATGGAAAAGCCAACTGCAGTTTCTCCACCAGGGAGCAGGCGTGGAAGAGATTCACTCTTGTGTTGATTTAGCAGAGTAAACAAACTCTTTTCTGCACAGCAATGTCAAGGACTAGGTTAAAAAAAAAAAAAAGAGGTGCATGTGATTGAGAAAATGGGTATAAAAGCCTTGTACAGATGTTAGGACTGTTTCCTCAAAAGGCAAAAAATTGCTGGGGCCCCTGAGTAGTGGCTCCCAGGGCCTTTGTGGCAAAACAGGGCCTCACTGGTCATGAAGTTAAAGGGCCCTGATGCTCCAAGTCCATTCCTGTGAGAGGGCAGGTTGTACCCCCATTGTAGGTGGGAAAGTCTAGGTGCTTCAGAGAAAGGCTTAATCAAAGTCCTCAGTCTGTTCTCTTAGGAGCCCTGGGGATCGAGAGACTGAAAGGAGCTCAGTGTGAGTTGTAAAGTGAGGTGCATGGATCTACGTTCAGGGCTGTGGGGAGCCGTGGACCTGAGTATGTGAAGGTTTCGGCTATGGTCCTGGGCACAGAGAGAGCAGCACCCAATAAATGTTAGCTACGTTGCTGAGGACTTGCCCCAGCGAGTGGGACCAGAGTGCCTCAAAATAAGGAACTGGCTAATGAACAATCACTGAGTCCCCACCAGGTCCTAGGCATTCGTCCAGATCCTCCGTGTACAACCATGAAAGAGGCGCAGCCACTGCTCTCAGTATTTATCTGAGTGATGTTCCCATGCTCAGTGTACATGGGATCATCTGAGCGGCAGGAAAACTCATTTAAATTGGCAACTCCAGTTCATACTCCTGGAGTTTGTATTGTGTGGGTCTGAGGAGGGACCAAGGACTCAGGCCACTTGGTAATGTGCATCCTGGGAGAGTCTGGGATCCTGATGCTGAGGGTGCACGGGCCACATTTTGAGATCCCGGGTCACGCAATTGGCCGATGGAGCTAAACATTCACTGACATCCCTTTGCCTAAAGAGGTATGTCTGCAAAATGGGCTCAAATGGCTCGTTAAACTGAAAAAAGTTATACAGAAAGCAGGAGGGAAACTTTTTTAGGGGTCACTTTTAAGAGAAACTATAGTGAGATTCAGACCGAGAGCTGGGAATGGTGACATCCTGGGCTGGGGCCTCTTCTCAAAACTGCAGGTGCAGCACAGAGCAGTTAGGCCAGGACCCTGCCAAACATGGCCCAGGGCTTGGATGTCCCTGCTTCGAGCTTTACAGCTCTGCCCTGTTGCAGGAAAGTGCTAGATTGTTCCCCGATGCACTCACCTCACCCTAGCTCAACTTATGGGTGACTTTAGAAGCTGCCCTTGTTTTGGAGGAAGCAGGTATTCTTCCCTTGGGCACAGGATGTTTCTCCAGAGCAGCATGTGAAGCGGGTCTTACTTTCAGTGTGCTACTATACATTGTGAGCAGTTTTGTTGTGCACCGTTTACTTTACCATTTGCGTGGATCTAGGTTCTCATGCTGAATTTGTTTCAGGTGTGCCAGGACAGATTTGTTGGGACAGTGTCCTCAATTTCTCAAACCCGACTGATCAGTCTGGTATAGGCTTCCCAGGAGGCTTCAGTTGGCCTGATAACTTCTAGTTTGGCCCCAAGGTAACAAAGTAAGAGGTGAACAAGGAACCTTCCTGGGTTCCCCAACTGAATGAGAACTGTCAAGAAGTGTAGATCCCCTGGGCATGGTGGCCAAACCACAAGTTGGCATCTGCTCTGTCTGCAGCTATTTGACAGTAAGAGGGAAGCAGAAAATTCATGTGAATTTGCCCAGGTTTTTTAGTCAGTAACCATTTTTGTAAAGTCCCAGAAATAAGACTTGGGCCACAAAGTACATTTTATAAAATGCTCAGTGCTCACACGAGTCTTCCAGGCTTCGGAGGCAGTATTTATACTTTAAAAGGCTGCGTGCCTGACGTTTTGTGTTTCTTGGCTGCATCATGGCAGTGTTCTCACTGATAGGCCATTTATCTGCATTACATCACTTGGGAAATAGATTAAGACAGGGCAATTGTATTCCCACTTTACAAATGAAAAATTGGGATGAAGCACTTTCGTACAAGATCATATTGTGCCTCCTGGGTCTTGGGGAAGAGCTGTATTCACTAACCTGAGCTGCCACTCATAAGTAACAGCTGCAACATTAGGGCACTTTCAGAAGTGTTGGACTGACCAAGCCCATGTTTTTTAGGGAGCTGGTCCTACTATGTGTCAGGAGCTGTCCCAGGTCCTGACACTCACTTCCTCTCTTGGTGGGCATGTGTTCTCTCGAACTTTTGTTCTTTTGAACAAAAGTTGTTCAGAAACACCTTTGCTGGTAGGTGGAGCCTGCCATTCCTGTGACATTTACTGAACACCTGCTGTCTGTAGGCACTGTGCTAGGGTGGGGAGGGGGTGGGGGTGGGGCGAGGAGGAAGGGAGGCAAGGCTCTTGCGTGCACTGCAAGCACTTACAGAGCGATGATCTCTGATGGAGCATATGAATTGCTTGTGTGCCGTACTTTATATGGAGAGTAAAAAAGGCTTGTTCTTCAAACACTTTAAGAATGATATTCTGGTGTTAGGGTCTATAAATTCTAAAATAGAAACGTTGCAAAATTTATAGGTGTGATAGAGGAAACTGTCTACATATCCTTGCTATATTTTGAGGTCTTATTCCCTGTCTTTAAAACAGACTGGCATTATTCCCATCATGCAGATTATAATGTTAGTATGTAGTAATAATTTTATGGGTATTTCTGGCAGACACCCACAGGTTTTTAAAAGTCAGGATTTTCACAACTCTTTACTTCAGAGATCTTTGTCACTCGATATTGGAGTGAAAAAATATCCCAGTAGGACAGGATACTATCCGAGTCTCAGAAACAAGTGCTAGTAAGGTTTTTCAGCGATGTGGATGATAAGAATAGCTTTCCAAGAGTACCCATACTTAACTCTTTCTCTTCTTACATCTATGGCTTCCTGTCCTCACATTGTCTCATGTTTCTTTAAACAAGCATACTAAACTTTCCTGATTTTTCCCAATTAAACCGGCTCTCGTTCTGGGGTCGCATTTGGAATTGCATGAGTTTTGCATGTTTTTTCTACTTTGATTTGAATTTGCTCTTTCAGTAACTGGATTGATCCACATTTATTACCAGGTGAAAATAATGAATGATGTTGCTGAGCCTTTTGGTAACGTTACCTTCCCTCTCTCCCCTTACTAATACCAACAAAGAGAATAAGCATTCCAGATTAAGCTTCTAACTGTAATTAATGATGTCTCATTGATTACATTTCTTTTTATAATTAAGGTCCCTGTAAAGCTTTATGTTTCTTTTTAAAAAGCATTAATGCTCAGTTTCAAGTACTGAAAGTTACAATGTTTGTTTTCTTTCCAGGACTCCAGTCCTCTGCTAAATGAAGCTTCTTCATCACGCGCTGGCGCCGAGTCCCACACCTTTGCACCAGTTCGCAAGCCGTCATCGGCCTACCCCTCCACGACAATTGTCAACCCCACTATCGTGCTCTTGCAGCACAACAGAGGTAAGGGAGCCTCGCCGCGCACCTCTCCCTCGGCTCCCTGTTCTGTGACACCTGGGTCAGTAGTTCTGCCTTTCCGCAGGAATTTTCACAAATCTCACTCTTCCCCGAGGCCACCTGCCCCAGTTTAGTCCCACAATCCACAAAGTAGTTCATAGCAGACAGCCCCCTGGCTCAGGGTGATGTCAGGTGTCGGAACCCGTAAGCTGGTGTAGTGCATGTCCCACGCCTTGGATGTTCATGATGTCTTCAGATGTTGGCACCAGAAAGATAGAAAAGGCAGAAAGAAAAAAATCCGTGCCCCTTAATTCCTCATGGTGAGAAATCTAAACAGAGCTTTGTTTAGAAAATCTAGGTACATTAATACCTCTTTTCAGTAGTGTCCTAAATCATTTAGTTCTTTGACATCATGATTTTTCTAGAAAGCAAAATTTTGAGTGCCAAAATTATTAAAAGAAAACATAGTGGATGGAGTATTTTCTAAAATGTAAAACATGTTTTTGTACCTCTAAAACAGAGGCTGTTGAACTTTTTCTAAGTGACTCACCAGCCTCCATCCTTGCCAGCAGCTATTACACTGAGCTACCTTTCAGCGCACCCTCTGGGGACTGGAGTGGCCGCTTGCCCCTTTGGCTCCACGGCCCCAGGCGGCCCAGCTGAGGGACTCTGTGTTGGTTTTCTATGGTTCCTCTGACTGCTTCCTCCTCTTCTCTGCAGGGGCATCTCAGGTGAAGCAGAAGTGCTTTTAGGTAATCATTGCATATGCTGACCCTTCTGCTTTAAAATTCTAGAAGACGATCCTAAAACCCAATGTTTTGTTTTTGGAATTCAATAGAAGAATAAACTTCCCCTTCCCCAAAGGTCTTTCCAATGTCAAATGTAAAGTTTTCAAGCTTTCTGAGTTTCTGAGTGTAGAAAGGGCTTCTTCATCCGAATTTCAAAGAACGATAGAGGTTTAATTATTTTGTTTAGAACACAAAGCTCGGCACCAAATCTTCATTTTCTTGACTTCCTGCTTGCCTACTTCATAGCTTCCCTCCCCCCTCCCCCGCCTCTCCCTCTCTGCATTAACTTGGATGAGGATAGGGTTGAAGCCTATTTTTAATTGTTCTCCATATTAAATGGAGTTTTCTGTTTCCTGCTTCCAACCTAAAAAACGGATGAATGGAACATTTTCTCTTACTTAAAATCTTCCCACTCAAATCTTAGTTATTTTAGTAATTTTATTTTTTTTCACTATGTGCATCTCCCATATTAATTTTTCACCCATGAATCTGTGTTCTTCAAAATAAAAAAGGGTCCCAACCCCCAGACTAAATTATGTAAGATCCCATTCTCCTCTCAGCAATAGCTTTCTCTGCCCAGAAAGTGTCCACAATGTACCACAAAGTGAAATTTGGGTTCTCTATGAACTTCTTTATGACTCATCTTTTTAAAAAATCCAGTCAAACAGAAGCAAGTTAGTTCCCAGAAGGAAAAGCAGTTTCTCTAAAAATGGGATTCATTCCCAAGGCAACTTGGTTTTTGGGAAATGCCAAGTATAATGTCAGCTAGTTCTGCCAAGTCCCTCTGATGACACCTAGTGAGACATCTTTGGGCCCAGAAATGCCAATAGTTCCTTTTTGTTTCTTCCCTGAACAAACAGGTTCTTCTTATTTGCCCAATGCCTTTGGCACTTACTTTTCTCCTTTGTCAAAGCCCTGCCCTTGGGTTTAAAAATGAGAATTGTGCAGCCTGAACCGCACATCCTTCAAAAAAAAAAATACAAGTACATTCGTTTTTTTCGAATTAAAAGAAGCTTCCCATGAAGAGCAAACCATATGTTCCCCAAGGAGGAGGGGCAGGAAGAGCCAAGGAGAATGGAAGCGCCTCGCTGGTCGTCAGTGGGGCTTAGGTCACGCGTTTCTGGCTTGGCTTTGCAACTGACCCAGCCTGGTGGCTCTGCTTTACCTCACAGTAATTCCCGTAAAAACCATTTCTTAACTGTCACAAAGTCTCCTGAGGGAATGATAACTTTACTCCGCTTCTGGAATTCTAGTTGAGTCATCCTAAAAAAGGTTCCCTTTGTTCCTGCCCAGACTGGCCCAGGGCACAGTGTGACGATCACCCCGTCTCCGGCAGCCAGCTCCCTTTACTGCAAACACATGGAGCAGCACCGCGTGTCCGGCCTGGCTCTGAAGGTCACACACAACGCGGCCCTTGCTCCTCGCTCCTGAGTTTTCACGTTACACGTGTCCGAGGGCAGATTGCTTATGAATGGTCTGGTAGGAGGACTTGAGTCAGAAAACTTTCAGGACTGAAAGAGATGCATGGGTCCCCTGGCTCAGCTTCTGCATTCATTGATTGATTGACTGATTTTAGAGAAAGAGGAGACCCATTGATTTGTTGTTTCACTTACGTATGCATTCATTTGCCCATTCTTGTATGTACCCTGACCAGAGATCGAACCCACAGCCTTGGTGTGTCAGGATGATGCTCCGACCAACTGAGCTACCTGGCCAGGGCAGAGCCTCTTGGTCTTTAGAGTGCCTACAGCCTTGGGGGTCTTCTGAACTTGCAGATTCAGATTCAGGCAGTCCAAGGCGGGGCTGAGATCCTGCATTTTTCATAAACTCATGGGGCGTGTTGGTGTTGTTGGTCCACGGGCCACATTGGAAAGCAAGAGCTCAATGGTTCCCAGACTTCTGTTGTATGAAACAGTCTGGGGACCACACCCGGATTGCTAATTTCTAACTTTGCTAAATAACACTCCTGAAAAACAATTGCTATTATCAACATCACATGTCATTCCAAGAAAGAAAGGCCGTTTCACACCTCAGAAGCAGGAATAACATTATGGTTTAAATTGAATACATTTGCTTTTGCCTGCTGGAAGGAAGACCTTGCCCTTGGCTTGCCTACTTCCAAACCAGTGAAGACCAGAGTTTGGGATCCATGGATCCACTGAGCACTTTGAACAGATGAGAAAACTAAGGGGGAGACTGAGGAAATAGATGTTCCACGTTGCTGGCAAAGCGGAGCCTTGCACTCTGCTGGGCCCCTGTTGACCAGCCAGCATGAGTGAGCCTCGTCCACATGTTGGGGTGGACGGGCTACTTCCACCAGCCGGGAGCTCCCCTGCTACTCTGATTCCTTCTTGCCCGTACCAACTCCGGAGGGAGGGTGGGATGCGGCCAAGGGGAATGATGATAGCACCCGTGGGCTGGCAAGCATTCTATTTTTATCTATGTGGCTGCTTTATATTTAGCAGCTATGGAAGGTAGAGGTCATTTTTGTGCTTATGCCATAGCACGTACACACAGAACTCTCCAAAGGAGAGGTTGGCCTCCCCACCTCACGAGCGCCTAGGAGGGTGAGAAACCCATAGACCTCACTGTTAAGGGACAGGGGCCTGGCGATTAGAGCTGGAAAGAGCCCTGGAGTAGAAGATAAGGGGATTCCAGGTTTTAGACCCAGCTCTGGTGTTCAGCTTGGGTAGTTTGTAACCCTAACTGAGGGTGTCTCAACTACCCTGACCTACGCGCTACGGTGGTTGTGAAGATTAAAAGCATTAACCTGTGTGAAAGCTCTTAGACAATGTTTGGCATTTCACAAGCGCTCAGGAGATGGTAGCTGCCATGGTTATGATTATAATTCTTTTCCCTCAAAAGGTACCAAGACGGGGGTTGTGTGAGATTCTGCCCCCTTGGAACCAGTGGAGTTGGGGAGGGTCTCCTCCAGTGATCAGATTATCTTCAGATTAGATGTAAACAACCAGAAAACAGTGACAGTTCCCTGAGTCCCGGTGCAGATCTAGGGGCCCGGGGATAAGAGGTAACAGGAGCTATGCTAATCCCCCTGTATTCATGGGACACAAGATGTTTTGGCATCTAAGCCCAAAGGACAGCGAGGACCCAGATGTTGGGATCCTAACAAGTTATGCCAGGATGTCTCAGTTTTTAGCATGTCTCTGTAAATCTCACTGTGTTTTTTTTTTTTTTTTTTTTTTCTTTTTTTTAAATCACAGAACAGCAGAAACGACTCAGTAGCCTTTCAGGTAGGTAAGAAATATTTATTTACGTGTTAATACCTGTTCCTGTTAAAGCTGGCTTCTGGTCACCACCTGATGTTTAGTCAACACAGTCTTGTGAGCTCTTCTGATGTTCTGGGGACTCTGTTGCTGGACAGCAAGGGTGGTAACAACTGGCATGGTCCCTGCCCCCCTGCAGCTTGCAGGCTGGTGGGGGAGCACCAGACAGGTGGACCAAACTAGTAAACGTCTCCTGTGAACTGTGATGTGTGCCTTGGTGGGTAAAAACAAGATACTCTGATTAAAAAGAACAAGGAGATACATTTTAGATGGATGTGTTCACAGCAGGCCTTGCTGGAGAAGTCACCTTTCTATTGCTTCTATCTCTCTTCTGACACGTGACAGATTAGGGGCTGGGAAACAATGGGCAACTTCTTTTCATTGTGGGTTCCAAGCCCAGATGGTGGGATGATGGACACAGGCGAAGGTCTCCAGACCAGCAGTGCTCAGAAGAGGGCCTGAGAGCTCGGCTCCTTGAACTTGAGCTGGCATCAGAATCTCCTGGAGAGCCGGTCAAAGCTTAGGCCACACGTGCAGAGACTGAGATCGAATGGGTGTAGGGAAGAATTTGCGTTTCTAACCAGCCAGATGATGCTGGCGCTGCCCTCTGTACTGACCGCACTTAGGTAACAAGTTTCATCAAGAGCTAACTATGGTAGGGAATGATTACAAATACAAGCGGACACCTAGCCTCATTCCCAGATAACGTGTGCAGGACGGGGCTGTGTTGCCCATGGAGGCTGACACTGCGAGGAAACCCAGGAGTGGGAATGTTTAGCGCTTTCCTCATGGCTTTCTGTAGCCACTCAGCTTTGAGTTCTGATTCTGCTACTTACTAACATGTGGGCCGTAGGCAGGTTACTGATGATCTAAACTACAGATCCTTTTCTTAACTGTCAGATGTTCTGCTTATAAACAGCTTAGCGCTGAGCATTGGCATTCACAAAGTGCTTGATGGGTGTGAGTCCCTGCTTTCAGTAGGCGCCTCCATTGATTCACTTGTCATTTTTTTGAATGTCTACTTTGTGTTGAGCACAGAGCCAGGCTCCGGAGCCCTGCCAGGAAACTGTGCTGCCCTCGAGCAGCTGGCGTTGTGATGGTTTGTAACCTTGTGTTGGTCACAGACCCATGTGGGAAACTAGTGAAGGCAGTAAGTAGATTCATTCCCTAGAAAAAACCACATGTGTGGGAGCACATGCGGTGGTGGATGTGCAGAGACTCTTGAACTCCGGGGTTCGGAGCCCCTGGTTTGGTGGATAACAAAAGCCACCATTTTCTGAGCAGCTGCTCCGTGATTTCTGTGTCACTTCGTTGCATTGCTGTCCTTTTGATTCTTGGAAAGCCCAGGTGGGAAGGACATGGGGTTCTCACACCCTCTCAGCTTTATCAGGGCTTGGCTGTGGGACCAGGACAGGCTGTGGTTGAGCACAAAGTGCCCTTCGCTGCCCCCTCTGCAAGGGGTCACACACCAGCCCACTTCACCTGTGGCTCCAGCCCAGGTTGCTGAGAGCAGGGAGGCTTGGGAAGGGAGGTAGCCCTGTGAACTCCTCCCTGCCTTTGGGAGTTTGAAAGGAGCAGTGGAATAGATTTTTTGAAAAGGTGCCCCTACACACAAGTTAGACCCAGAGTCTGGTCCTGTCTCTTCCCTCTCTCTCACAGCTGTTTGTCCCTGAGTAAGTGACTTTACTTCTCTGAGCCAGTTTCCTCCTGTTGGAAGTAGGGATGACAGTCTTTGCTTCTGCCTCGAAGAGGTGTTGGAAGCAAGGGTCACCGTGCAACAGGAAGCTCCCAGCTGTGCGTTGCACACTGGAAAGTGCTGTGTCAGAGGCGGGGCTTCTCTCCCGTGCCTCCGGGCTCCCGCCACTCCCTCGGCTCTGAAAGAAGCCTCCTGCGCTGTCCTCTTTGGGTTTTGTGACAGATCCATTCATGTTTGATGGAGCAGCACATAAATAGCTCACTAAGTGTTAGTTTTTGTGTAAAAAGAAGCTCCATTTTGTTCAGAAAGCTCCTGCAGGAGAGAAGGCTGGCCGGGCTGGCCCTTCAGCCTGCGCCTGGGAGGGAGTGAGGCTCTGCCCGTCACACGTGTGGTGATGGGAATTGAAAGAGCCACCAGCTTCCCAACCCTGTAATCAATTTTTTTTAAGTCTCTGGGGCTTCATGCTTAGCAAGATTCCACTATGGGCAAGAGACCCACAGGGTGTTTGGCCTCATGAAGCTCATGGTCCCCTCAGGTGGGCAGACAGGACAAAAAGGGCTGGGACAGGGGCTGGCATGGGCCACGCCGCCCCCCTCCCCCCCCCAAGGGAGAAGTCAGCGCTGCTGTAGTCACAGGGCTTGGCGTGAAGAGAATGCGAATTTCCCCGCCCCCCAGGAATGCAGAGGCCCTGTCTCAGGCTGCCACTCCATCACTTACTTAGTGGCTCCTTCCGGGACCTTGCTTTTGAAAACAGTATCAGATTAGAAGGAAATGCTCCAGGATGTCATGTGAGGGGTCTGTATTGGTGCCTGGCGAGAAAGAGCAGCAAGCCCTCATTGTAACGCAGATGTCAAAAGGGTGGCCCGGTCACCTGTGTGGCCCAGTGAAGTGTCCCTTTGGGTTTTCCCTAGATAAAGAAACTGTTTCGCTTCAGGGGCTGCCGTTCAGCCGTCCGGGTATTGAAATCTACCCAATCATGAGTCGCATGGTCACACGCTTCTAAAGTAAGATACTTCAGGGCTAATTTTTGTAGCTCAAAAGGACTCTGGCAGCTTTGAAATAAATCCGTGGGCTGTCAGCTTGGGTTTTATAGTTAAGTGATTGTTGTTAGAGCCACCTGCCTTAAAAAATATTTTTAAAAATTCTCTGGACCCCAAAACCCTGAGAATGGCATAGCTGTGATCTTCCTCTTCTAAAGAAGAAGAGGAGTGTGAGCACCTCCCAACACCAGGTGAGGCAGAGCTCAAAGTCTTGATCACACTAAGGAGGGCCTTTCCCGTGGGAGGGGAATGCTCAGCAGAGCCATTTTAAGGGTGGACTCCGCTAACTTGAAAGCCCCCTGTGTGCTTCATGCTTCCTGACAAATCCTTGGCTCTTGTTGGAATTTCCAGGGAGCATGAGAACTCACCCCATGAAGCCAGTCTGGTGTTAACAGTCTTTAAAATTCATGGTGATGACTCCCAGGACCGGGTTTTTTGAAGGGCTTCCTGAGCTGAGTCTCCCACAGAATGTTTAGAAATTCTATGGCCACAGGATGAATCCTCATTTCAGATGTTAGTTTAAACTCTAGGCAGAGTCACCCCACTGAGCGGACTGTGACGGTCATGAAACATGAGAGTGCCCACGCCAGTGTTTCCCTACACCCCAACCCTCCTCCCTCCACACGTGGACATCTCCGACTTCTGCACAGCGTTGTAGGACCCTCGGGTCCCTCCTTTGTGCCGCAGCACTCCGCACCTCCTCCTTTCTCAAAGACGAGCGCTTCCTCCTCAGTCGATGAGCGGATGCTTACTGAGCAGTGCTTCATTGCCAGGTGCATCTCTGTCCCTGCAGGCTCACCTAAGGGCTTCACTGAGAGGTCGTTAGGCTCCCCTGGCTCTTAGACCTTTTTGCCCCCCAATCCTGTGACCTCTCTGGTTGCCGTATTTCTTCTGGGTCCACCTCCCTACTTACTACCTCACTTGCTGCTTATATATTCATTTCTTTTCAGGCAATCTGGTATCTGCCCCCACTGCCCTCCTGAAATTGCTCCCTTAGAGCAATCCTGTGACTCTCCCTTTGCTTCATTTCTGTTTTGGGTTGTTTTTTGTTTGTTTGACGTATTTAATCGCACACTGCTTGGAATTCTGTCTTCTCTGGTTTTAGTAGAAACCAGACCTCACTCTGCCTTTCCAGGTCATCTCCTGTCCCCCTGATGACCCCTGCACCCGTTGGGGGAGGCTTTTCCCCCTCCCCCGCTTTTCAGCCCGTCACTGTGACATCCCCAGCCCATGAGTTCAGCCCTTGACTCTGTCTCATTTACCTCTGCCACTGAGCTCCGCCACCTCCTTGACCTTAGCCATCACTTTTGTGCTGGTGGCCACAAAATCGCGCTCCTGCTGGACCTCTCACCTGGGGTCAGCTCCCACATTTCTTCTAGAAGTTTCTAGGGCATTTCTACTTGAACATCTCTCTGTCACCTCAAAATTACCATGTCTAAACAGAAGAGGCCATCTCTCCCTGCCTTCCCCAAGCCCGTCCCCTTTCCTTTGCACAGGAATGCTTAGCAACTGACAGGCTCTCAGTAAAGGCTTTCCGATAAAGGGCGTGGCTTGGAATCACAAGTTAAACTTAAGCAATTTTATAATCTGTAGACCGCACGTGGTATGTGATCAGCTCTCTGTAACTTCCAACCCTGAATCAAATGTGAAATAGTCTAATGGTCACTTAGCAACTGATAGCTTTCTGAGCATTTTGGCATAAGTTATCTTATAAGGTCCTTTCATAGTATCTCCGCGAGCTTCCCGGAGGCAGTGTTATCCCCATTTTTGGATAATAAAGCAGAGGCACAGAAAAGTTAAGTGACTTTCCGAAGATGAAACAAGGACTTTCTAGAAATGTTTGGCCACCTCTTTATGGTTTGACCTGCTCCCTGGCGGTCAGAACCTCTGGGATGTCTAGAGCACCGAGCTGATACCTCTGCTGATTTTTTGAAAAGAGACAGATGGTAAATATTTTAGGCTTCACAGGCCATACGGTTCCTGTCACAGCTACTCAACTTTGCCATTTTAGCTTGAAAGCAGCCATAAATAATGTATAAATGAATGAGTGTGACTGTATTCCAATAAAAGTTTATTTACAAAGACAGGAGGCCGGGTCTAGTTCGCTGACCCTTGCTCTATGTGAGACTCGTTCCAGTTGAGAATTAGAAAACACACTTCCCCCCTGAACTGGCAGGGGTTTTTTGTTGTTGTTTGTTTTTGCTTTGGAGCCACCAGAAGAGCTTCAGCTAATGATTGTTTTTCACTTCCAGATCCTGCGTCAGAAAGAAGAGTGGGAGACCAGGACTCGGCACCAATCCAGGAAAAACCCACCTCTCCTAGCAGGACTACTGAGAAAAAGGCCAAGGATGACAGGCGGGTGGTTAAGAGCGCTCAGGACCTAAGCGATGTGTCAATGGACGAAGTGGGCATCCCGCTCCGGGTACGAACGCCGACCAAGAAGTCCTTCTTAGGCTTCCTCCTAAGCCAGTGACAAGCAGACCCCCACCCCCGAGTACCTGTGGGCCCCCTCGTGGGTTGCAAAGGCCTCATAAGGAGGGTCCTCACCACCGTCCACCGGCCAAGCCCACTGAGGGCCGCTCAGCCTCAAAGAGCTGTGCTCCAGTCTCCCAAACCCACCTTGGTCCCGGGTTCAGTGTGCAGCAGCTTTCCCCAAAGCATGTGTGAGGTGTTACTAAGTCTCGTGAGAAAAAAAATTTCATGGTTGAATGAACGTGAAGGAAAGTTGGGCAGAACAAAGGCAGTGAGATTTCTCTGCATCACATCTTCTGGGAGACCTTGGGCATGTGCAAGTTCAAGGGGAGAATGCTTTGGGCAGCTTCCCAGTCTCTCCCCTCCATGGACACATTGTTTATTGTTCCATGGGACAGATGTGGGAATTGTTAGTCCAGGGTTAGAGAACCCTGGGGAGGGTAAGGCTCAGGGTCCCTGTTCACGGGCTCTGAAAGAAGTTCCTCTGGATGGGAGCTAGACCATCACCCAAAGTGAAAAGGAAACTATAAGGCATCCACAGAATGGATTCAGCCCAGAACAGAGTGGGTCTCGGTGGCCCTGTCTGGCCCTCTTCTCTGTACAGGTATACCAGCCTCCTGCAGGCATTTAGGGATTCTGGGAAGCCCAGCTTTTGATACTAGATTAGAGTAAATCCTGTTCCTCTCCAGGTACCCATCAGAACACTGGCTGCCATGTGTTACTCTGCGATGTCCATTGAGCAAATGGACAGTTTTCTGTGTCCCTTTGGAGAAGGCCAATGGAAATAGCAGTGGACTAAGCTTCGAAAGAACTGTTGTCTAGTCCTATGTAATAACAACTATATAATAATAATAATAAAATAATGAGAATTATTACTCATAGTAATCACAGCTGCCATTTGCCAAGTGCATTATCTCATTTAAACATCATTTACTCTTCAAGGTGGATACGAATGTTATTCCCATTTTATAGGCGAGGGAACAGGGACTCAGAGAGATTACGATGCTTACCCAGGACCACATAATTTGTGGGTGACGGAGGTGTCTGTCTAAATCCCCAACCATCACCCACAACCAGTGTTAGGTGGTCCTCCTGCTCATTTTCTCACCAGCTCTTTGACTTTGGACAGCTTTGACTCATTTTTCCTCATCTGTAAAATGGGAGTGAAAATATCTGGTCTAAGCACCTGTCACCTTCCTTATTTTATTTTTATCTTTGGCAAAAAAAAAAAAGAGCTGTGTGGTTAGGATGACAGCTCTTTGGCATTGGCTGCTATCATGGGTTACATTAGAAGGTGGGCATTCTAAATCTGACGCCTTGCAAGGTGACTTAGATACACTTCTACAGGATAACCTGATAAGCAAATAACCTTTGTTTCATATATCTCTAGGGGGGTTTACTTCAGTTTAGTCATCTGTATATGGAAAGAGATTCTAAAAATGAAATTTTTTAAAAAATTATGTAAAAATGAAGGGAAACTGTAAAAACAGGTTCAAGTGGATCTTCATCCACTGTTTTCAAAATCTATGTCCTTCTGGCCAAATGTTACTCTGCAGATTCAGGCCTGAATCTATTGGTTTATTTTTCTCAAAAGTTCTGCATTTCTTTTTTTCTTTTTTTTTTTTTTTTTTTTTTTTAGTTACAGAGCAAGCTTTTTTAAAAAGAAAATTTTAGATTTTTATATGTTTACTTTTAGAGGAGGGGAAGGGAGGGAGAGAAACATCAATGTGCAAGGGATTTGATCAGTTGCTTCTCACACCCCCCCAACTGGGGACCTGGCCCATAACCCACACGTATGCCCTGACTGGGAATCAAACGGGTAACCTTTTGGTTCACAGGCTGATGCTCAATCCACTGAGCCACACCAGCCAGGGTAGTTTTGCATATTTTTAAAAAGATTTAAATGTGGGATCACAACGATGTTTAGAATTACATAAGTTTAGACTTGAGGTGTTGTCACTTTCCATTTTGATTTTATAATCGTAGAAGTTCTAAAACATACTAAGATTTCCATTTCATTTTACTCTTTGCCTTTGTTTTTCCAGAACACCGAGAGATCAAAAGACTGGTACAAGACCATGTTTAAACAGATCCACAAACTAAACAGAGGTACTGGTTTACTTTTGGAGAAGCTCTGCTGTGCTCATATGTTGACCGTTGTGGTGAGGGCCTAAGCTCCCTTCACTAGGGTGCCAGGAGGCTGGCTTTGCACTTGACCTCTTTAAGCACCAGCCTGCCTGAGCCCAGCCAGACACCTTCAGAGCTGAGGAGGGAGGGGGAACTTGTGCGCCTGCCGCATACGTGGGATTTGAGGCAGCCTCAGAAGTCCTCCCTCCCAGGGGTTGTGGGATGCACAGGCTGAGCCCAGCCCCTCCCTGCGCTCTGGCATCTGCCTGCCTGGGATGCAAGCAGCCCAAGTCCCACCTGCTTCCAGCTTTAGGTGCACCTCCCTGTGTCAGCCCATGACTGCCTTGTGGGCAGAGCAAGGTGAGAAGGCACTAAACTGGGGAGTTAAAACTTCTCACCTGGATTCAGTCCTCCAGGACTCATGTGATCTTGGACCCATCATATACTTATCTGTGTTTGTTCCGCTTCCCTTACTCCAACGGATGTTACAGGGTCCAAAAGACAGTAAATCCTGCCTTGGGAAGTAATGTGCCTGGTGCACCTGTAAGGTGGTATTAATATGAAAAATAATCTACCTGCACTGGGAGCCAGCCCTTGGCAGGTAGCCCTGACAGTCAGTCAAGAGCTGACACACCAAAGCCTGCTCAAGCTGGAAGAGCAACGCTTCCAAGTCAGGGGCCCTCTGGGTAGCAGCAGGTGACCCAGCATGGTGGCAGAACCCTAGACCAGCGCTTGGGCAGGTCATGACCCCACAGCTCCCATCCGCCTGTGCCGCCAGTCAGCTGATAGGCAGGGACGCAGTTGCATCATGGGAAGTCCTGCTTCTCCCGTGGGCAGAGCATCCTCTCCTCCCCTGTGGGCAAATCCAGTCTGGCTGCCTGGCACAGATGACACAGGAAGGCAAAGAAAAAGCGTTCTGGTCAGTGCTGGCCTAAGCCACAAATAACCAGTCTCTCTGATTAGCTGTGGATGCCAGCTAATGTCACTGTTAATTAGCTCCTGCAGTGTTCAGAGTGAACCTGGCTGTGCCCCTCTTCTCAGTCTTTCTAAATATCCAGATGCTCGTGTTGAGTGTTGCTGAGCCCAGAGTAAGTCCGCTGTGGTTGGGTGGATGAGCTCAGCCATGGTGGTCTCCCTGGTTGCTCCCGCTGCTTGCCTCCTAAAGCCGGTCCAGTTCCTCCAGCCTCCTGTGCCTCACCTTTAGACCCAGCTCTGGCGGGCCAGACGCTGAGACACGGGTACATATGTGAAAAATATACCATTCTGCCTTAGTGGTAGGAGAGGCATGGAAAAGTGAAGGATCCCACTGGTTTGCCTTTACTCTCATGTCCACAGCGCAAGGTTTGATTTATTTTTTTTAAAAAACAAACATTTTACTATGGTGTTTACATACTATTTCTTAGCATAATTAATATTTTTGCCTATGAAAAGTAAAAACTTAAAACTTTGTGCTAAATGCCTCTTGCTTACCAGAGCCTATATATATATATGTAATTCTTTATCCAAGAAGAAAAATGACATTTTCTCTTTAGATGTGTCTCAAGTGTCTCAGTACTTCAGGCAAAAGGACTGGATTTTTAAAAGCTATTTTAATTTCTTTCATATCGCTAGTGAAGCTTAGTATGTTCCAGAATGCAAGGAGCCTGAATTGTGTGTGGATTCCTATTCGTTCATTCTCTCCGTTTGTATCTTCCTCTATTCTCTCTCCCAAACCTGCTACTCTGCCTAGACACTCCTGAAGAAAACCCTTATTTCCCTACGTACAAATTCCCTGAACTTCCTGAAAGCCAGCAAAATTCTGAAGGTACCATAAACTTAGAGAGTGTATCTGTTGTCCTAGCCTTAAATTAATTCTTAGAGTTCCATCGTAGGAATGAGATTTGGCTTTTAGATTTTGTTTTTATAGTCATTTTTGATTGGTGGAAATTTTATTTCACTCATTGCATGATGTGCTATATTAAAATAACTAAGCCTTTTCTAATGCATTAACCTGTTTTTAAGTGCAATGCCCGTGTGCTTTAATAACACTAAAACAGCTAGTCAGTCTTTCAAAGAGTCAGTTGGGGATTTGTCAGTTCCTCCACTTCATGGTGGATGGTTTCAAAATCCACTGCTTTTCTCTGCTACAGAGGACAATCCTTACACTCCCACCTACCAGTTTCCTGCATCTACTCCTAGTCCTAAATCTGAAGGTAATTAAAGGAAAACCACATGCCTCTCTTTGTACTGGTGCTGTTACTTTCTTTTTTACCTTGGGGTTTTTTCTGGTGACCATGGGCTGTCTCCCAACCATTTGCTTCCCCCTAACCTTGTGTTGTGTGGTGTTGTCTTGCTTCTCGCTGACTATATAACCACAGTTTGACCAGATGGCATTTTAATCCTATTCCCTTGGAGTCTTCATGATTAATGGGGTAGGCAGTGAAGCTTAGTCATGATGCTGTGAACGTGTGGGGCTCTGGGAAAAGCTGCCTGTACCCGACCAACCAGGGCTTTGTGTTTGGGGTGGTCACATAGTATTGGTGGCGGGGCAGTGACTCAGGGAAGCTGAGTCAGTATGGCTGGTGGGCAGGAGGTCGGTGTGCCATCTGTCAACAACAGAAAAGTTACCCAGTTCCTATATGTGCAACTAACTCATCACTGGGTCCCTCCTGTCATGGACCCTCAGGGTGTACCTGCGTGATAGGGAATTCCCAAAGAGGTATCCAGGCATGAGATTCAGCCATGGTGGGAAATGATATTTCTTGAAAATAAGGGCTTTGGCCAAGTTAGAAAATATTTCCTGAAAGCGCTGGCTTAGGAATTGGACCTGCTGGGGAGGATAGTCCCACTTATGCCTAAGAGATATTCTTTTCTAGGGCAAAAAATCTTGGTGTCAAAGAAGGTTCTAATAGGCAAGTTAAGGAGTTAAGGGCAACATTCTGAGAATTATTTTAGTCCCAAGGATTGCCTGATCTTTGGATGAGTCACCCAGAAAAAGGAGAGTCCATGGAAGATGCAGGGGAAGTTTCGTTAACTGCTCTTCTAGGATGAGATGTTGAGGGCTCTGAACTTCATTCCTTCAGGCAGTACTGAGCACTTGTGTGTGTCACACACTGTCCTTGGAACTGAGGCTAGTGCCATGACTAAGATCTGCCCTCTGTTCACAGAAGCCCATATGTGGCAGGGAATCAGACGAGGCCATTTCATCGCATTCTGTCCAGTGTGGTGGCAGGTGCAAGAGCATGTGTCCAGGAGGCCGAAGAAAGCCTTGCTGGCACATTGCAGGTCCTTAGTACATACCTGGAGAATGCTGATGAAATGGCTTCGCACCAGGGAATCACAGTTGTTTTCTAGGACAAGCCCAGTGCTACTATTGCGGTTCTTCTCTGCTCTAATTAGGTCAGCAAACCATCCTGCACAGCCCTTCTCGTCAATGGTAGAGTCATCCATTTAGTCATTCACCAAACTTTATTAATCACTTAACGTATATGAGATGACACACGGGTGTGTTAAATAGTTTTAGTTAAAATACCTTATTCTCTTTTTGTCTCCCTGTTGTTGTGTATTAGTCTTTGGTTTCCAACCATTTCATGCCTGGGGCCTATTCCGAATGAAAAGAAAAGTCTACCATACGAAAACAGACTTAAAAATTAAAAGCTGAGGATTTAATTTTGCCAACAAGAGTCTCCTTGGTATGAGATAACCTAGTCTTTTTATCTTAGGGTACTGATTCTAGCCAAAAGCATTGCTTATGAAACAGTCAACTGAGGACAAGGGAGTATTTTCAGGGTAATTTTGGCTAAATGCAGTTTTTGATTTTTGCTTTTTGGGGACCTGGGAACCCAACCCAGTCTGTAAGATAGGGTTCGCTTCTATGACAAGCATGCACCTTGCCTGAAGGCCCGTTACCCCACAGCCACAGGCAGAGGAAGGGCACCTGGGGAAGTCCTGCGGAGGAGAACAGTGGCTCCCATTGGACTGGAAAAATGCCGTAGGCCTGTCGCAGGCAGTGCCAGCAGATGTCACAGTCAGCCAGGCTGTTGGGCTGAAGACAGGGTTTCACAGCTTCACACCCAGAACTTCCACGTCATCCGCCGCCACACCTAGCAACCCAGGCCGATAGCGTTCCTGCTTTGGGTACACATCACCTCAGAGGCAAGCCGCAATGGGGTTATTGTGCCTAAAGGCATAAACAAAAAGCGGTGGCAAGATAATTTTTCACCTACAATTTAGGGAGTAGACCTTTTTTTTCCTCCAAAGACCAAAAAGGAAGAAATAGTCTTAAAGGATAAAAGGGGAAAAAATAGATTGGACATGAAAAATTCATAATACCCAGTATAACTAAACTTTAACATAAGTTTCTGAGACGTCTTCCTCCCTGGAGATTTTTTTAAAATAGGGTAGATTTCATCTGTTGCCCACACTTCTGCCTAGATGACAGAGCCCGACATAGATCACAGATGCATTCGATTAGATGAGGGCTTTTTACGAGTGAGTGAAACGTTTGAGCTAGATCACTTTAAAGAATTATTTTAATTTTTTTTTAATAACAAGAGATTCTCCGGCTTGTGGTTTTGATGTCTGTGAGCTCCAGCAGGTCTTCCTCAGTCCTGTCCTTGGCATGCGCCAGCCCTGTGCTCCCAATCAGTAGCCCTGGGCTCTGTAGCAGGCGCCCCCCCCACACACTTTTATTTTCCAGTCCTCACTCATATGTTCATTGATTTGAGAGAGAAACATTAATTGGTTGCCTCCCGTACATGCCCCAACTAGGGATTGAACCTGCAACCTAAGTATGTGCCCTGACGGGGAACTGAACCCACAACCTTTTGGTGTACAGGCCAATGCTCCAACCAACTGAGCCACATCGACCAGGGCTGCACACCCTTCTAAACGTGGGAAAGATCTCCACCTTTCAAAGAAAGGTGTTAAAGACAGGTTAGCACCTAACTGAGGCTTTACCCGTAGTTTTTAATGAGCAATAAAAAATAGACAGCTTTATTGAG